GTTTGAGACAGTCGACATGTACGATGTGATTTTCCTCTCTCTGGAACTTCCCTTTCTCCCTCTTTTTCTCTCCCACTCTCTCTGTTCTGCTCACATTCCTCCGGCCCACATGTACATTCATGGTGCTTCACGGTGTGGACGGTGTAGGTGAGCGTAGATGTGATCAGTGTGGAGGAGGAGGCCCGGCTCTGGATGCCAGACATTTCTGTGGACCCTCCTCCAGTTTTGTAGAAACCCTTCACAGAATATTCACGTCAGAGTTGCATTTAACACGAATATCTCTCCACGTATTTATGTTCCTGACATTTTGGTGCAATCAAAGCATCTCATGCATGTTTTTTAAATAAAGAAAATAGATAATAAAGTGACTCTTCTGCTGTCCACCAGAAGAATGATTTGTGCTAATTAGCATCGGCAGCTACTTCTGGCAGCATGTTTCTATGTATATATTCTGGGTGTTTTTAGACGATAGCCGTGTTTCTTTTCGGTGGTTAATTACCAAGTTGTCGGTGGTTTAATTGGTCCTGATGTTAAAATCTGATCCATCTGTATAAAACAAACATGGAGACCAGATTTAGACCAAAGAATATAAAACCTTCCCTGCGTCATAATGGCTTTAAAATGGTTTGTTTAGTCGCGTCGTTCATTACCATGAAGGGCAAATAGGTTTCTATGAATAGAAGCTGTCCCTGCTTTTCTGTTTTTTTAGTGCATCGAGTCACTGCATGTTCTCCGCTGGAAGACATGAACATTTGTGATTTCACGGCACAAATACTGTGACAAACATCGGCTTTATAGATCGGCTAATGGGAGCTTTGAACAGAACAGTTCAACTCTTTTAAAGTTACAGTAGGAACGTCACATGGCACAGTCTTCTGGAGCAATTCAGGAACACTTCCCCGTTGACTTCAACTGTCAGAACAGGAGGTTGCCGACTGGTTTAACTCTGAAATATTGCTAATTCAGACTAATTCACCACGAGGGACAAAATGAGAAAGACTAACACAAAGAAGCAGATGAATAAAGGCACAAAAGAAGAGAGAAGAGGGAAAAGAGCGATAGAATAGTCTCAGTTTAAAAAGAGATCATGAGTTGTTGAGTTTAACTCAGGATTCTCCTCGTCCAATCTTTATCTTTTTAAGGAAGGACAAGAGATCATAACATTCTGAGTTACATGGAGGTGGAGTCTGTGATTTACAATGACGCATCGTTCCCCTACGAGCAAATTAACGACGTTTATCTGCGTTTTTGTTTGAAGCATCTTTCGTCTGTAATTTTCTCTAAAATCTCTCGTTTCTCGCTCCACTGGTGCTCAGAAGGCGGCCTATCTTTAGAAGCCACTTCCTATGTGTTTGTAACCAGGAGGGTTGATGGTTGAAGCACCGAGTCAGGCCGAAGGAATGTGAGACCAAGTTATATTTAAGAAAAGAGGGAAATCCCTCTAATTTACTGTTAGGAATGTAACGGCACCGGGTACCACATTATTTAGCTCCTACGTTATTGCTAACGGTTAAATAACGTTTAACGGTTACGTTGTGGTTCCTTCAGGCTCTGCTCAGTGAACATGAGTACTGGCTGAAGGTACATTATAACGTTATCGTGATGTGTTCACATGTCATCTGTAAAATGTAGTTTTGGTGATGAACTTGAATGAATCCAGTAGTTTGAAGATGTTTTCACATGAATATAGATATTAGAGATGAATTATGAGCTGTTTCACTTCCTAACACGAGCTATAAGCTCATTATTATACTTCATTACAAATAATAATGACAAGATCTTTCATTTCCTAATTCGTATTGTTATAACAAAGTCGAATGATTACATGTAGAGAGTTTAAACTGACTTCAGGGCGGATCCTCGTAGACCAGCTGCTATAATCTATCTGTTGATATTGATCATCAATGATCGGCTGTTGGTGTCGGCGGTGAAACAGCGTGATCGGTAGAATCTCTAAAAGTTATATTTGTTCCTTTTTTCTTGTGTTCTGATCCGAACCGTGACTTTTATGATCCGTTGAACCTCATTAACTTCAGAGATTTAATGCCAATCAAGAGAACAGACGTCTGTACTTTCTGATGTTGATGCTCTCGTTCGTTTTTTTTTCTTGAACTCTTGAAAGCAGCACTGAACTCCTTCTGTCTAAAGTATTGATCGGTCGTTGAGGATGAATAGGAGCGTTGACCATGACCGAGGCGCTCCCCTTGAGCACTGTGTTTTGTTAATTTTTATTTTGTGTCCAGGTCGTGATGTTGATAGCAGCTCGGCCTCTGTCTGCTCCGGCTGATAACCACTCAGCTGCAGCGCCGCCATTTACAACAGGCCTCCTCTCTCTCTCTCTCTCTCTCTCTCTCTCTCTCTCTCTCTCTCTCTCTCTCTCTCTCTCTCTCTCTCTCACTCTCACTCTCACTCTCACACACTCACTCACTCACACACTCCCGCCTCCTCTGTATGGGGGTTACTGAAGTTCAGGTTGTGTGTGAGCGCTCCGCTCTTCATTGGTTCTGATCCGAGTGGAACCGTGTCGTTCAGGTTCAGTGGGAGGTTTGATGTCTTGGTGTCCATGCCTTTGATTCACAAGACTCTTCTTCCTTGTGTTTACAGAACACTTGTTGTTGCTTTTCATCCGTCGTCTACTCATAATCCCGTTTGTTTTAAGGTTCTGTAAGTTGTCGTTGGGTCGTCCGTGCTATTATATTATCATTTGTCATTCATTATATTGTCGCAATTATTTCTGGGACAATATATCATCCGACAAAAGTAGTTCTGACCAAGCCCCGAAGGAAGGGCGCCGTTCACGAAGCCAATGTTACATCGTGATCAAACGGTGGAACTACAACTTCCTGGTCATGTGATCCATGTTCCCATAGAGGTACTTTGTGAAACAGACGTCTGTAACTCAACTTCCTTTTGCTTCATGCGCCAATTATCAACCTTTATAGCAAAGAACGTGGTGCTGCCTCCAATGCTGTAAGCCGTGTCCAGTGTTCATGCTTCACTTCACAACTTCACAACAAATTTCACTTCATCAGGTTTCTGAGGTTCAATGATCATGTGATTCACACGGTAAATCACTTAAAACCAACATTACAACCATCAAGGAAGGAACCGTTAAGGAACAACATGTTCATATAAGTAAACCAGCTCAGAGAGTGAGAGAGGCACGATGGATGAAGAGTTCAACTTATTCAGACATCCAGAGATATTCTGTCTCTTTCTCCAAGTTCACAGCCGTCCTCATTTTGAGCTCGTTGACTGAGATGTAGGCAGTGAAGCACAGGGAGTCGCACTGAAGGCTCGGAGCCGGACTCACGATGACTAATGCTCCCAGGATGCATTGCAAGGATCCGTGACAGATGACTGTGGACCTCCCAGGTTACACCGTATCATGATTCACACCAGCAGCAGCTCTGCCATGCAGGATTATCTCTCATCGGTGCTACAAACCGCTGAGTGTAAGCACATGCTGCTGTGTGATAAACGTCTCTTTGTGTCACACAAACCAGTTAGAAACGGCTCCACACACGTACGGGAAGGTCTCTGTAATTCATCAGTGAGGGCAGGCTTCTTTAGAGTATTTGACTTTTAGTAGTGTCAGGTTTCAAAGGGACAGTTGTGATGTTTAGAAGTGTGGTTGTAAGAGGTTCTCCATAGTCGGTGTGTTACTACAGTACATGGAGTTTGGAGAAACAGACGATACAATATGCTCTCTTCAAAGCCACCAGACTCTTGTGTTGCTGTGTGACACCAAAGTCACACAATAACACAAACTAACTGATCAGTTGAAGCAGTGGTGGACCAGCAGCCCCTGTGTTCTGTGAGGTAAAACTATAGTTTTCTTCTCTGGTGTCTTTGAGAGGAGCACAGACAACGTAAAGTGATGAAGTCAACGTTATTTTATATATCTCAGATTACACACGTTTGTCTTTAACAACAGTCCTGCGTGGTTCAGACCAGGACCTCTACGATCGATGTCCCGGTATCGGAGACTTTGACCCGTGACTGGTTTCGGTGCCGTGTTCACAGACAGCTGATGTTTGTTTTCAGTGTTCATTAACTGTTTTCTGCAAAGGTTTTTTAAGCCTTCATGTAAATACTGATAACAAAAATCTGGCATGTTAGTATTGAAAATAATATTTAATCTGTATCTTTATGTCATAAAGTCACTAGTGTAGACACACATCTACGTACAAAGCAATACAACTTGGTTCGGTTTATAAAATTGTGAACAAGTTGCATTTCTAGTTGGTAGAATATGTCCATGACAATTTCCTGAAGCCCAAAGTAATGTCTTTAAACAGCTTGTTTGAGGCCAGAAACTCCAGATTAATTTACTAAAATAAAGATGAAACATGATCATTAAAATGGAAAACAGAACTGCTACACATTGTGTGTTTAATCCACTACTTACTGCAGTGAAGGGTCATAAAAACACCTGGTTTCACTCCCAAGCTGTCACACGTCACTCGGCTTATTGTAACCTTTGATTAGTTTCTGTTGTGTAGCGCTGATCGGTGCTGATGCAGGTTCACCTTCATCACGACACTGATGGCATCGCCGCGTCCTCTCGCAGTTCGTTCCATGTTCGGGGGAGAAAACAACAACAACGAGCCAAAATGCAGCGATGGCGACATGCGAGCGGCCTCTCACAGAGCGCTCATTCTCGTTGGGTTACATGCAGGCTGCAGCTTGCATTGTGCGGCCCGTTTATCCAGTAAGCTCTGTTTAGTAACAAGCCATTGTTTGTTCGTCCACGCACATGATTCACACAGAATGACTCACGGAGGAGAGCCGGGCCACACTCACGGTCATAATTAAAGGCTTCTGGTCACAGAATACGGCATTTTGAAGCCGACGTCCTCATGGTAACGGTGGCATCTTCTGCTCCCCTCTAATCCGCTCAAAGCAGATGTTTGAAGAGTGTTCGAACGTGAAAACTCAATAACTGAGGTTGTTTTTTGAGTAAAATGTCTTCTTTTCTGTCTCCTTCCGTCTCTCAGAGCTCGACGCAGGAGATCGGCGAGGAGGCCGAGGAGGACGCCGTCTTCACCATCACGCTGAGGAAGGTGCAGCTCCACCAGTCGGCCAGCAAAGGGCAGCGGTGGCTGGGCGTGGAGACTGACTCGGCCCTGAGCCTCTACGAGACCTGCAAGGTGCGCACCATCAAGGCCGGCACGCTGGAGAGGCTGGTGGAGTACATGGTGTCGGCCTTCAGGGGCAAGGACTCCACCTACGTCACCATCTTCCTCTGCACCTACCGCTCCTTCGCCACCACCAGGCAGGTGCTGGACCTGCTGCTCAACAGGTAGAGGGAACAGGTTTTGGTGCATCTATTGTATTTGGTATATATGAGCCAGTAATTAAAAGGATTCAGCAGTTCAGGAAGCAAGCTGAAGAAACAGACAAAGACTTCTTCACATGACGTAAACGTCTTCAGAGGAACCTGATTAGATGCTGATGTCATCTGTAATTTAATATTCACAGCAAGCTTACTGACTCGTGCTTCTCTTTTTATTTTAATCAGATTTCTGATATTTAGTCCAATATTCTGTAATCTTCTACAAATGTATTCACAATTTAAATCTGTCTTTTAAGAGTTAAATCTTGTGTTTCTAGTGTGTTTTGAATGTTACAATCTTAGTGTGTATATCCGTCTTATTTACTTTTATCTCTCATGTGAACACAAGGTTCTTTTATTCTTTCTGTCAGCGTTTGAGTGCTTCTTGTGTTTTCTTGTTTCAGGTATGCTAAGCTCCTCAACGTCCCTGCAGCCACCGCTCACAGAGTGTCCATGGACGACTGCACCGAGCTGAGGAGGTGAGTGTGCCCGCGTGTTAGCTTTAGCATTGTTAGCTTCCAGAAACCACAGTTTCTAATGATTCAACCTTCCTTTAAATGAAGCTTCTGTTATTCTCTTAACGAGAGACGCTAACTAACAGATAACTTCACCAGTTCATTACTGACATTAGGACAGTTATTATTAAGTTTTCTGAAATGTTATGTTTAGAAACGCACATGAGTTATTAACTTATTAAATATGTGCTATATATGTTGCATACATTTCTGTATGTGAAATAAAAGCTTTATTACAGTCGCCAAACAAAACACCCACAGTTAAGCAGCTTAATAATTCAGACAATACTGTCAACATAACATGTTTGACATGTTTTTAGGAATAAAATCTTCTTTAAATGAGGCTACGAATGATGTGTGAACGTAGATGAGAAAAAGGAGGAACAAAAGGAGAACAAGTATCTAAATAAAAACCACCGTTTGACCGCACAAATAAACGCACCAATGTACCTGCAACGTTGTTTGGCTCCAACAGCAATATTTAAATACAAATGACATAAATTTAGTTATTTCAGGCTGCACATTTGGCTGTTTTCTGTCCTTATTTTGTTTAAAAGTGGACAAGAACTGGTCGCTAATTAGTCAAAATGGCCGCCAAAGGCAACCGCTACTGACAAGCTGTGAGCGCTGGTCACTTGTGATCTGATCGCCTCAAAATGCATTTTAAAATCAAGTGTAAACCGGGTTTTAAATGCTGACATTAACTCAGAGGATTGCTGACGTCTTTTGTTGTGTTTTTCATTGTGTGTGTGTGTGTGTGTCGCAGCACTGTGTCGTCCATCCTGGGCGCGTGGCTGGACCAGTACTCCGAGGACTTCTGGAGCCCTCCGAGCTACGACTGCCTGCACCAGCTCATGTCCTACCTCCACCGCCACTTCCCCGGCTCGGACCTGGAGCGCCGCGCCCGCAACCTGCTGGCCCACTTCCACCGCCGGCAGCAGTGTGAGCCCGATCCCGACGGTATGAAGGCAGGACAGGAGAGGGACACCAGCAGGGCAGGGACTCCAGGAAAAGGGGGTCAGAGAGAAACGCTGGATTTTTGTTTTTTGCTTGTTTGTCCTCGTGTACAGCTTCACATTGCACGCCGTGATAAAGAACAGTTTGGTTGTACTGGTGATAACGGCTCGTTGGCTGCAGAGATTGAGAGGAAAGAAAACACACGCATGACGGTCAAAGAGAGGAAGAGAAAGTGCAGGATGTGAGTTCATCTCGAGCTCCGGTCGAGGCGGTGTTGTGAAATGTTTTTTTGTTTTTGCATCTCCTCAGGCGAACACATCGGCTGCCCTTTCGCTACGCAGGAAGAGAGCGGCTTTGAGGACGAGCTTCCTGCTTTCAGCTTCCTGTCGTTTGACCCCATCATGGTGGCGGAGCAGTTCACGCTCATGGACGCGGTGAGCCGTTTTCTCTTAAATAGTTGTTGTTTTTTGTGTCTGACTAACCGTCTTAAACTCAAAGATGTTCAGTTCACACATTAGACAAAGAAAGCAGCACATCGGAGAAGCTTTGGTGTTTTTGCTTTTCATGTTTTCTTTAAACAATCTAAACCCTTTTATCACAGCCAGAAGCTGTAAACACCGTCATTATCGTCAGATTTTCATCTTTACATCGGTCCTTGAACACATCATGTGCGACGAACACTTCCGTCAGAAGAAGTTAGCCAAAACTAAACTTAGTCATAAACTAATAACTTAAACTAATAACTTAGTTTATTTAGTCATAAACATTTTATTCTGAATGTCTCATTTAATATCTCTTCCCAAATAAACCGTTTAAAGTAACTAAATCCTGTAAAAAGCATTAAATTCTTATAAGTAGAGGAAGTAAAATGTGAATAGTTCAATATACATAGCAGGGGGAGCCTCCATCTTCCTTTTCCAATATGGTAAAATATGGATTTGGAGATATAGATTCTATTGTTTTCCAATTTTTCTGAATTGGGTACTTTTATTTTGACAGCTTTATGTCATTATAACTGAGTTATTCTGCACTAAAGACATGTTTGAGTTCTCTCTACTTCAGACATGACTGTGCTCTTCCCAAAGAAAGTTTAATGGACTTTTATGTTGTCGTGAAAAACGAGCCACAGAGAGTAAAATGTATTCGGAGCAACAAAAAAGGCCCGAAACTGCTTTGGGTTGAGAGGGTCAACACTCCTGATGACGAGTAAACTGACATTTCTGTGTGAAAATATACAAAATGACAGTTTTTCTATGTTTTGTTTATTTCATCAACTGTTAATGTGTCGCATGTCTCGGTCCAGGACCTGTTTAAGAAGGTGGTGTCCTACCACTGCCTGGGGGGGATCTGGTCTCAGCGGGACAAGAAGGGGAAGGAGCACCTGGCCCCCACCATCAGAGCCACCGTGGCCCAGTTCAACTCCGTCACCAACTGCGTCATCACCACCTGCCTGAGCAACCCGACGCTGAAGCCCAACCAGAGAGCCAGGCTGCTGGAGCGCTGGATCGACGTGGCCCGGGTGAGTTTCTGGAGCTGATGCTGCGAAGACTGCTGTTAAAGTTGGAGGTGTTAAGGTGGAAGCCTCCTTATCAGCTTCAGATTTCCTCAATATATTCCCTCATGTGTTCAGGAGTGTCGGATCTTGAAGAACTTCTCGTCGTTGCGAGCCATCCTCTCTGCCCTGCAGTGCAACGCCATCCACCGCCTGAAGAGGACCTGGGAGGAAGTGTGCCGGTAGCTCTCCGCTCTTCAGCCTCTTAAATGTGCACGGATCGAGTATCATTGAAGGCCGAGCTGCTGATTATTCGTTCATTCTTCTCTCCTCTGTGCGTCCGTTCTCAGGGAGAGTTTCCGAACCTTCCGTGAGCTGTCGGAGATCTTCTCAGACGACAACAACTACTCCCTCAGCCGAGAGCTGCTGGTGAAGGTGAGACGCTGCTCCTCGACAGAACACATCAAAACACCAGACATGTGTCGTAGCTCAACTCTTCTACTCACATACAACTTTCAAGATTTTAAAGTTATCTCTTCAGAGTATTTGTCTTAGATCGGAGCATTAAATTCATATTATACTGATTATATTTATAAATGCATATATATACGTATATATACAGTATATATAGTAATAGTAGACTTTATCCTTATTGAACACTCCTAATGTGTCTGTCTCTCAGCCAGAGTGACTTCAAATCTGTGAAACAGTCGAGTGATATTCATAGTTTCACCCATATTGTAAGAAACCTGCAGTAATAATCAGAGCTGTGAGAGCCTCACAGTAACAGCAGCAGGATATATGGCGAGGTGCATTATATAAAGTATTATTCTGACGTAACAGCGAGTGAACACCTCGTCTTCCTCTGAGGGAATCCCCGCTGACGTCAGGAGGAGGAAACCTCTGACCGGCGTAGATAACGGCTCTGATCCGACGTCTCTCGGGGGCGTCGGCCTTTATCTGCTGCGACCGTCGGCTGAGTTCACTCGACTCGGTTTAGCTCAAGTGATACAAAATGCCTTTGAGTGTTACGTCACCCTGAGGCTTAAGACCGGGGTGACATACGTCAAAGATATATGCCAGTATATATAAAACATACGGTCACATTCATGTTCATTTTAATGCTTCGTAACGACAGCAATGTCGTTGTTTTTCACACATAAGTCCACTGCTTCATTTCATCATTAAAGGAGTTTATTTTACACACGACGATCCGTTTACTCGTCATGGTTAGAACAACGATGAAAACAGTTGAGAGCAGCAACAACAAAATGCTACTGCATTATGGGAAATGTAGGATCCAGCATCCTTGTAGTTTGAGACAGTCTAGGGACTAAAGACCGGATGTCTCACCCTCCACCACGTAGACTGTGGCCGTCCTTTAGACCGCTGGTGGTCAAACTACACAAATTAGTTTATGGCTTCAGCATATTTCTAATGAATTGATAACAATTAATATGAGACGGATTTATATCGTTAGTTTATATTTGCATTGTAATCTCTTTAGGACGGTCCTTGAGCCAATAACAGAAACAAATATATCATTTATAAGTGGGAGTGGGAGCTCTTCTTTATGTAAGAGGATATTATCCACTGTTCTGTTGAGCTCAACCGACCTGATGAAGGTTGTGTGGACTGAAACATAAATCATATAAACAGTATAAACCAGCTTTTAATGAGGCAATGAAGGTTTTTATCTCACTTTTATTCGAGTCGATATTTTTGCCGTTAAATTAAACATTGTTGAAAAGCCTCAGTTTAAAGAAAGAGGAATGTTTTCCTCAGTGATGTTCTCAGGTAATACAGTCCTGCAGGTTAAATGTGCGACAGGATCTAAAGAAGTGACGTTTTTATTTCTTACGTGTATTTAAAGTCGACTTACTCTCCGTTCGTTCTTCTGCAGGAGGGAACCTCCAAGTTCGCCACTTTGGAAATCAACCCCAAACGAGCTCAGAGGAGACACCAGCAGCAGAGAGACCTGGTGAGTCCTCACACTCCTCGGTGCTTCTGCTTCACCACGTTAAACTCTCATTCTGCAGCCTCTGAATGTGAACAATGAGCTGCATCAATGTGCCAGCAGCCCCATCTAGTGGTGAGGAAAGTCACTGCAGTTTGTCCAGAGAAGGAGACTCTCTTCTTCTCTCTGATTTGGGCTGATCTAAAATGAGCGAGGATGCACAGGTGTATTTAAATAAAGGCTCCGAGGAGACGTTGTCTCATTTTGTTAAATGTGAAATGTTTATTACTGATGATTTAGAAAGCTTTTTGGGGCTGAATTATTATTAATTTGAGCTTAAATTGATAACAATGTAGGATATGCATATATAAGCATTATGCGTCTGCCTATTTACTAGATTGTATATTAACTATACTTATTGTATTGTGTAATATGGCTGAATATAGTACCATCTTTTTCTCGCCTCCTCCGCTCACATCTCATGTGGGAGGGACTAAGACGTGAGGAGAGGAGGCGAGGAAAAGAATCCAGGATGTACAAACTGAGAAATGAGAAGAGCCATAAACACTTTATATTTAGACTATTTAGTTAATTTTGACATAAAACTTTTAACTGTGTTTTAACAGGTCATTCATAGAGTGAAACACATTTTTACCGACTTGCTTTTATGTGATGTTGTCTTTTTATTTCATTTATTTTATTTATTTTAATTTTATTAAATTTTATTTATTTATTTTTAAATAATTTGTATTCATGTGAACATAAACAAAAGAAAATATTAAAGCTGCATCAGTATGGATGAACCAATCAACCACTTCTATCTGATGTGTTTCTGTTTCTTCTACCTTGAATATTCCCGCCCTGAAGAACGTTTGTGTTTTCTACATTAAAGAGTTGTGTTCTTGCTGCTCCTCCGTGTTTTTCATGTTTTTTTCCTCCTCTGTGAGCAGGGAGTGATGCAGGGCACGATCCCGTACCTGGGAACCTTCCTGACGGACCTGGTGATGATGGACACGGCCATGAAGGACTACACTGAGGTCAGACACCCGTCATCTGCTCTTTACTGCTCTGTACATTGAGACTATGAACACAGTCCAATTTAAAACAGTGTTTTATTAATAGATAATAAAGTTCACAACAGAACAGGCTCTCCTGGGGCCGGCTGGCTGCACACGGCTATGAACCAATCAGAATGCTTCATTTGAGCAAGCCGTTTCATGACATGTTTTTATTTTCCTACCATCACGTTCTCATGTTTAGTTTTTTACCTCTCTCTCTCTTTTTAGGGCGGTCTGATCAACTTCGAGAAGAGAAGAAAGGTGAGTTGCATTTTTCGCGTTTGGTTGTGATGATCTGTAAAAAAAACGAAGAAGAAAAGCAAAATGGTTTCCAGTTTAGAGCAGACGAATCTCTGCCCTCTGCTGTCAGGAGTTCGAGGTGATCGCTCAGATCAAGCTGCTCCAGTTGGCCTCCAACAACTACAGCTTCACTCAGGACAGTCACTTCAGGGAGTGGTTCGCAGGCGTGGAGAAACTCAGCGAGGCCGAGAGGTCAGTCCGTCTGTTTGTCCCTCTGTCTCTACCAGGTGTGTCTCCATCAGGACGACATTTATCAAACATTATAGAAGGGAAAGATGCCAAAGTATTAAAGCTGCAGCAGGTAAAAGTATGTTATATATATATTTATTATCTAAACAAACAAAACAAAGTAAATAATTCAGATTCAGCGCTCTGGGGTCGTGTTGCATTTACTGACACATATCAGTACAGGATTTCTGGGCACTGAATCGACAGAACAACGAGGTCGCCCCCTTGTCTGATCCTTGAGATTAACGTTGTCATCACTTCCTGTCTCTGCAGCTACAACCTGTCCTGTGAGATCGAGCCTCTGTCGGAGTCGGCCAGCAACACGCTCAGAGCCAAGAAGAACGGCGGCATCATGAAGCGCTGGAGCGAGTACGTGATTAATGTTAATCTTCATCCGTCTCCGCGTGTTTCACAACAGCTAAACTATAAACTCCTCCTCCTTTTGTCTCGTGTCCAGCCGACAGTTGACGGAGGCCGGCTGCAGCGGCGCCCCCGGCTCTCACTCCAAGTCCTTCGACCACTCACACTACAGACCGTACCAAGGTGGCGGCGGCGGGGGAGGTGGGGGGGGTGGTGGTGGCGGGGGGGACAGCGGCGATGCCCTCAGCGTCACCTCCGTCAGCTCCAGTGGGTCGGACCTGGAGGACGTGAACGCCAGCTTCCTGTCCGACTCTCCAGAGGGACACGAGAGGAAGGTGAGCAACAGCAAGTACATTCACTCAAGTACTATACTTTTGAGGTACTTGTACTATAATGTTTTCTTTTCATGCCACTTTCTACTTCTACAATTAACCTGTTGGCTGCTGACATCACCCCCCAGCAGCCAATCATATGCGAGTGTTAAGGGGTTCACCTGTGAGGCTGTTTGGTGAGTTACTGTCTCTCTCTCTACCTCTGTCTCTCTGTCTCTCTCTCTCTACTTCTGTCTCTCTCTCTCTCTACTTCTCTCTCTCTCTGTCTCCCTCTCTCTACTTCTGTCTCTCTCTCTCTCTCTACTTCTGTCTCTCTCTGTCTCCCTCTCTCTCTCTCTACTTCTCTCTCTCCCTCTCTCTCTGTCTCTCTCCCTCTCTCTACTTCTGTCTCTCTCTCTCTCTACTTCTGTCTGTCTCCCTCTCTCTACTTCTGTCTCTCTCTCTCTACTTCTGTCTGTCTCCCTCTCTCTACTTCTGTCTCTCTCTCTCTACTTCTGTGTCCCTCTCTCTCTCTACTTCTGTCTCTCTCTCTCTCTCTCTCTCTCTACTTCTGTCTCTCTCTCTCTCTCTCTCTACTTCTGTCTCTCTCTCTCTACTTCTGTCTCTCTCTCTCTCTACTTCTGTCTCCCTCTCTCTCTCTACTTCTGTCTCTCTCTCTCTCTCTACTTCTGTCTCTCTCTCTCTCTCCCTCTCTCTCTCTACTTCTGTCTCTCTCTGTCTCTACTTCTCTCTCTCTCTCTCTCTCTCTACTTCTCTCTCTCTCTCTCTCTCTCTCTCTCTCTCTCTCTCTAGACATCGACTCCTTCAGTGAAGCTCACCGTCTCTGCTTTGGGGAGAGAAGCTCCGGCAGCCGATACGACGTCAACGGTAACAACTTCTACTTTACTTCCATAACGCTTGGAGACATGCACGAGAGAGATTAAATAAAAATGAAGCCGCAGAGAATATTAAAGTGTTAACCATCAGATTCCTGTCCCCCCCTTGTCTCCCCCGCTCAGTTCTGGGAGTGCACGTCTCTGTCCTCCCTGGACACCTCCGGCTCGGCGTCGGGCTCCAGCAGCGCGTCCTCGTCCTCCGTCTCGTCCTCCACGCCGCTGTCCGCCTCCCGCTCGCACAAGCGCTCGGTGTCGGCGGTGTCGAACTACTCGACGCTGTCGCTGCCGCTGTACAACCAGCAGGTGGACGACTGCTGCATCATCAGGGTCAGTCTGGACGTGGAGAACGGGAACATGTACAAGAGCATCCTGGTGAGTCGGAGGATAATCTGTGTTCTCTGCTAAATGTCCTGTTAGCTTCAGAGCTTTATGCTAATTGGCTGATGGGAGGAGATAGAGACATATAATCTGTAGGTTTTATAAACCTGCTGACGTCGCTGTAGGAAGCTACGTTACAGGTGCAGCTGGTTTGACTCCGTTTTGTCGCTTTTGGTTCAGGTGACGAGTCAGGACAAGACACCGGCCGTCATCAGGAAGGCGATGATCAAACACAACCTGGAGCGAGAGAAGACCGACGAGTACGAGCTGATGCAGAAGATCTCAGAGGACAAAGGTAACAATATGAAGATGAACAATAAGAAACCTGGTGGGGTTCAGTTAGTCATTGAGACGTTTCTGAGCCTCATAAGTTACAGATACTCAAAGCCTCGTTTGAAGAGGGAAAGAAAGAGAGAGTAGCCAGTTTAACTTGGCACACATTCGGCTGAATTTAAGATGAATTGGCTGTCGTCGGGTTCAAGTTTGTCTTAAATCTTAAAATTGGCGGCACACGTTGTGCGTCTTGAGTTTCGTCTGAATTTGTCATTAAATTAAGGACCAGCTCAGATTATATCCGCCGATGTTCGCTCTAAATAGTTTGATCGGTGTTCTCTGTAAATGCCGAAGCAGAAGAGACGTCAGAACGGCGTCGACGGTCTGTTAGACGGAAAAGAAAGTAAATTTGCGAGCTGTGTTCCAAGGAAATCCCTCGTTGGAGGAAAACAACCCAAAAACGTTCAACACCACGAACCTCTTCTGCCGGTTAGCCACATCAAATCAGCATGAAGCTGTGGTTTAAGTTGTCTCTGAAAGAGAGACGGTTAATTTTCCCATCTCTTCATTTGTAATACTTTGTAGATTAAATAGATTAATGTTTTGACACTGTGAGCTCTCCGTACATATCACCACATTGACGCTTTATTAATAATAATTCATCCAGTATTTTCTCAGGGAAGATTTAGATAAATATACATTTCTCTCCATCACAATATTTTTTATACCAGATTTATTTTTGACCGCCATGTTGTTTCTTCTTCTTCTTTTGTCTGCAGAGCTTCGGATCCCGGACAACGCCAACGTTTTCTACGCCATGAACTCCACTGCCAACTACGACTTCGTGCTGAAGAGGCGCGGCTCGGCGCGGCCGATGCGCGCCAAGAACGTAGCCAGTTCCACGCTGCCCCGCATGAAACAGAAGGGACTGAAGATCGCCAAAGGGATTTTCTGAGGACAGAAACTCGAGCCACTTCCTGCCTCCTCCTTCCTTCTCCTTCCTTCCTCCCCCCTTTAACCCTCTCTGGTCTCCTCAGAGGAAAACATTTGTGTTCGGTGTGCGTCCGGACTGCAAACTCACCTGAAAGTTTTCTGAGTTTTGGTTTTTGGAGACGCGGTAAAATGACCGACCTTTCTGCGGAGCGGCAGGAAGCAAGAGGATTTAGGACTAAGCACTTAGGGAGCAGCTGTCTCCTCATCAGGACCCTTTAGAGGACTTTATAAAGGACGAGTCTGTTGGTGTCGGGCGCCGAACTCTCCGCCAGCCTCCGCTTGTGGAGAAGCAGATTTTTTTTTAATTTCCTGGTTGCGTTACTTTTTGTTTACAAACGTTTACATCTCTAAAAGTCAGCTCTTAAAGATTTGTTTTTCTTCTTCAAGCCTCTTTGCACCTTCGACAAACTTCTTTTTTTTTAAAATAAAGAAGTCCCTCCTCGATCCCTGAACGTCAGACGTCATGTACATACACCAACAAAGACGAGAGCCTGCAGCACACGTGTGCAAACAGCTGGGTGTGTTTTTTCCGAATGCGTTTCTATTTTTTCAGGGAACTATTTCTTGTGAGTGTACCGCCACCTTTAGCCGCAGCACTGAACCCTCCGTGGATGCTGGGACTCCTTCAGAGGTTTTAACGTTTTAACGCTGACGTCGAGGGAGCCGAAAACTATTTGAACTTGTGAGCGCTGCCATGTTATGAAAGAGAAGAAGAAAGGGGAAGTGGTCTGGAATGGAGACTGAAGATCCAGTGGGCACAGCCATGAATCACATGCCGCTGTTTTCTTTTTTTAATGTAAGTGAATGGTAACCCGTGTCCGTGGACCGGGACTCAAAGCGTCTTCGAGGGAAGAACAAGTGAAAACAGTGTGTATATATATATATCCATTAACACCGACTGTGCAGTATTTTCTGTTTAAAACGGACCGTGAGATTTTGTTAATAGACTCGTCACGATATCAACGTATTTTTGTTCATTTTGATTTGTACATTTTTATTTTCCTTTGCTCTGATATGGTGCTGCTAGTTATCGCTTCACTGCTGCTTCTTCTTCTTGACCGCCATGTTGGTAGAGACGACAGGAAACATCTCTTCTTTCCTGATGAATGTTTGCTGTTTTCAGAAAATAATGTCAAAAAAATCAACGGTATGGAAGTTTCAATTTCAAATGTTCAATCGACCAATTGTTTTAGCTCTACTTATGAGTATTTATGAATTATTATTAAAATTCCTCATTTTTATTATATCATATATAATTATTTTATCCTAGAATAATATGTTGTGTTCCAGAAATACTGCAGTAAAGAAACTCAGATAAAAAACAACATATATTTATACATACACAAAATCACAACATTTTCTGCAACAGCAAACTGATGAAGAAGAGATGAAGTTGGTATTTAGTAGTTCTTCCAACATGGCGGCTCGTCCTTCATCTCCATCAGTAACCACTTTACAAACGTGCCACGACGAAGAGTCACCGATTTATCCTGCAGGACGTTTCCTCCTTGTGTCGGCTGTGGTTTAGCTGAGCGCGCTCTCTCTCTCTCTCTCTCTCTCTCTCTCTCTCTCTCGCTCTCGCTCTCGCTCTCTCTCTGATCTGTAAAGGTTGTCAAAATACAGAAAAGCTCTTTAAATTGGGCCGTAAAACGAGTCCATACGAACGACGGTGAAGCTGCCACACGAGGAAACAAGCTCTTCTCTCTTTCTCTGCTGCCCATCGATCGGTTTCTTTAGAGGAAAAATCCAACCTGAAACACCGTCACACTGTTTTATAAAAGCAGCTTTTGGTGACGTGCTTTACATCACCACATGAATACAAAGTGGGAATATTTCTAACAGCTACAGTCTTTTTTTAAAGGGCTTGTTTTTAAGGATTCTGCTCAGTTCTTCTCTGTTTGCACACAACACTCACTGCTGCTAAATCACCTTATAGGCCGACAACGGTGGAAGATTTACCTTCAACATTCTGAAACAAAGGGACCAAAAGCAGAACGAAAGCAGCTTCTCATTTCTAGATCTTCTTCTGGCTGTTAACAGATTCAATCAGCCGTAGATTTCTTTACTTTCTAATGTTTCTGACTCTTAAATGTGCACTTAATGCTTCATACATGACGTCATGTTTGAAAAGTCAACTTCTCCAGCTGATGATGGAAATAAACAAAAGTATTATAAGTATGATGAGGACAAATGTAATGAAATGCAGATCCTGGTTTCACATCTTTTCACTTTATAGACATTAAAACATTAAAGGTGACAGAGCGGCTAACGTTAGCCTAGCCTCTGGTAGCATCCAGGAGCTAAACACACGACAGTTCTTAGTGATTTACTTATTAGTCGTGAACATGTTTCTTTAACGTAACCTGCAACGACACCACGATGTGCTCTTTGGCTCTGAAACTAACTCTGAAGATCACAAGACGGTTAGAGTACATAAACATGTTTGCTGCATAGCATTCTGGGAAATGTAGGAAAGTGTGTTCACCCAAAAAACTCTTCATGACTGAAGATCTTAACGTTGGATTTTTCCTGAGTTCACATCAACGACAGACATTCTCCTGGATTGCACTGCGACCGTGTGTTGCCTTCTTCTTTCTTTGTGTTATTTTCAGCTGCATGAAGTTCATCAGTTCATCATAACGATCAAATGAATGACCCCCCCCCCTCTTTAACCCCCCCACCCTGCAAGAGCAATATGGTGACGAGCGGCAGGAGGCCCGTCGTGGATGTCTGTTCGTGTCCTTCGCTGTTGAACACTGTGACATTTCTGCCTGTTGATCGGCGCGTCGTGTCGAGCACTGTGACCTAAAAAAGATGAAATAGATAATTAAAAAACGTCCGTTCCCTGTTAACGGTGTCGTAGTGAACATCCTCCGACAGGCTCGAGCCTCCATGTGCCAAAAAATAACAAGGGAAGAGAAACGGTTGCTTTTAACAGACGAGTCCTCTTTGCCTTTCACAGTGAGAGGAAAAAAACAAAAAAAACAAGTTTGTATGTTTACTGTTGTCGCATTTTTCTGGAAAAACTAAAAAAAAACTAAAAAGGGTGAGAACACTATGATGTCTGGACCCCTCGTCCAACAAACCTGAAGCAAAGACGTTTTTGTTCGGAGCTGCAGACGAAGCTGTTGTAGAAACGTTCATGAGTTTATCCTCATTTATTTTAATGTTTTTCTGTCTTTCAGGATCAAACAGCTGCCAAAATAGCAAATATTCAAAAACTGGAACGTCCAATCCAGCAACTCTTTACCATGAACCTCTTTTATATTCCAACCAAACTCTCCATCTGGAAACTAATGTAGGAGCCATTTAACAAAGAGTCTCACTCTATTAACAAGGTTTTGGTCCCAAAATGTTGTTAATAAATGAGAATAAATGTCAAGAAGAAGACTTTGTTCTCTGCATATATTTCCTCCCACTGGTGTTCCGTATTTTACACCAGACTTTGAGATATATTTGCTTTTTTTTCGGCCAAGTTTCAGGGATAAAACCACTATAATTCTGGTGGAAACCCAACAGAGCGTTGAGTGTAACAAACATTCATCGGCGCCGCGTAAAGTGTTTCAGGGGGATGTTAGAGTTTTGCAACAGGACCTTGAATGCACCACGGTGTGTTTGCTACTTGATCACTCATTGATTATAAACTATGGAAGAGAAGAAGAACAACTCCCATGAAAAGAGTCTCTCAATCCTCTCTCTGGTTCCTACTGAAGATGTAAATCTTTAAAATGTTTGTTTTAAGGGTTCAGTAATGTTCTAAAACATACCTTGAACGCAGCTCCTTCTCTGTTTGGTTGGAACAGAAACATGTTGTCAGGCCTTTAATTAACGACGTCTGTTCCCGTTGAAACCAGTGACGTGTTTGTGCAGCGGCTCTGTCTGTGTTCTCGTGAGAACGTGAACATTGTGCACACGAGTGGCACTTTAACCGATGTTGGAGCTGGTTTGTGTGTCGTCGTAGCCCGTGTTGACAATGACGTAAACCTTATTTTTATTTTTGTGATTTGACCTGATTCTGTGCAAGTTCGAACAAAAAATGCTGCGTTTACAAGAAGAGAGGAAAAAAAACAAACTGGATAAACGTGGTGGCGCGTGTGTGTTTTCTAATTTTAATTTCCTGTTCTTGTTTCGTTCCCCTGGACTGTGCTCGGGTGCCATTTTTCCATTTTAACAACAAAAAAAAATAACTTTTTCTAACTGGATTCTCTTCTTTGTTTTTCTTTTCCTACTTTAGAACACAAACACGTGTAGAAAACAAACCTGTCCTCGATTATTACGTTGTTTATTTATTGATTTGTATATAAAGATTTTGTTTTGCATTGTACATTCTCTCCTTTCTTGGTTATAGATTAATATATTCATGTATATACGAATAAACATTAAGTTTATAAAAGTATATAGACTCACTTCTCTTTGTTATTGCGTCCTTTTTGTTAAGATTAAGGAACAGAGATTCACAACAACTTTAAGTGTTGTACAGAAGCTTCATACTGAAGTCTTTATTTACCAGAGAGAAAATAGTAAAAGGATGTCTTGTAATTTATGTAGATGTCATACCAAACTCTTCAATTGATTGTTAAAGATCATAATAGCATTATAATGTAATATATATGTCGTCCGTAAAGAGGTTCACGAAGGAAAACAACTTTATTCCTCTTTATTTGATGCTTAAGATGTTCAATATACACACAGGGAAGTAAATGTACAATTCCTGATACGTGTAATAATACCTTAACGTTTAAAATAGTCGAAAAGTAATAAATTAGTAAATAAAAGTAGTAAAATATCCATTTGCTTCTCGTTTCCACACAGTAACGGTTTTTGCAGATTTTGAAAACGTCATCTCTCAGCGACAGAATTTTCTTATCATTCGCGCCTGCGCAGTAGTACATAGCTTTGTTGTTTCATGTCAGTATGGCGCTTAGCAAAACGTTTGGGCAAAAACCGGTTAAATTCCAGCTCGAGGAGGATGGAGACTTTTACATGATCGGATCGGAGGTTAGTAAAAAAAAACTTGCTTCAGTAAGTTACGTATTTTAGTTAATAAGTGTCGTTTAAACCCTGGCAGCGGTCCGCTAGCGACTAGCTAGCCAGCTAACGATTCTAACGATGCTAAGGACAGCGCTCACCAAGGCTCATTCATTTATTTTGGGTTTTATTGTTCATTTAATTTATTTTGCAGATTTAATGGAATATAATTTGGTCAGAAAACATTCGTCCTTCTTCAGAGGTTCACCTTGTTTTCTTCGGCTCAGCTAGCTAACGGTAAACAACTATGCTAAGCTAGCTACCTAACTGTAAACAACTATGCTAAGCTAGCTAGCTAGGGTCGTTTAGCCAGGCCAAAGCTGTAATGTAGGTTAAATAATATACTACCAGTGAGGTGTACGACTTAAAGCGTACTTGTTAAAATATATATATTTTTATTATTTATTTATAGTTATCTTCTATTATTTTGTTACGTGACTCATCTCATACTAATTATAACATATATCGTTAGTTTAACTTGCACAATAAACCATAAAAAATATTGTATAATATAATATATGTATATTAATAATCACTGTCACTGAGCTACATGTATTATTATTGCACAGTTCAATAAATAGTGAATCTTTCATCTCATGTAATTAATAACTTATATAGAACTTAAATGTGAGAATGTATTGTGTTATAGATGTTGTATTATATCGTCCAGCAAGACATGTTAACATGCTCTATAGAGCCTCAACTCACAGTTATTATAGTTAGCGATTCATCTGTAAACATTTTTCTTGATTAATAAATTATTTCTCTGATTTATGAAATGTCAGAAAACTCTGAAAAATGCCCGGCAGTTTCCAGTAACCCAAATTCTTTGTCCGACCAACAATCCAAAGTTATTCCGTTTATATCCTACGAAGAAGAAAATCTCACATTTGCACAAAATTGGAACCAGCAAGAAAACAAGAAAGATTATCTTTTGTTTATTTAAGTTATTCTGCTTCATGATTCTTCACTTTCTATCCGTTTGTTTGTGTTCAGGTGGGAAACTACCTCCGCATGTTCAGAGGCTCCCTGTACAAAAGATACCCGTCGTTATGGAGGAAACTGGCTTCAGTAGAAGAACGGAAGAAAATAGTGGAGTCGTCACACGGTCAGTAGAGTGACGTCATCACACATCCACACGGGATTGTATTCTTGTAGAAATGTATCTTCCACAAATAGGTCTGTTATGTTCGTCTGTTTCTCTACATGCAAAAAGACTTATTTCTGTTTAAAAAGATTAAAAAAGTAAAGAGCTTCTAAAGATGAGTGTTGTAAAACCACAAGCAGATTACGTCACTGATGGTTAAATGCATTTATTACACATTGATGATAATTTAAATTGGCGGCCAGCTCAGCCGCCACCTTCCCTCGGTGTCGGTGACTTTTCTCTGCGTCGGTTTGACTCTAGCTGTCCTTCAGATCACGGCTACACTCAGCTGGCCACCAGCGTGACGCTGCTGAAGGCTTCGGAGGTCGAGGAGATCCTCGAGGGAAATGATGAGAAGTACAAAGCCATCTCCATCAGCACGGAGCCGCCCGCCTACCTCAGGTACCTCCACCTCAGTGCAGACAGACAGGGTGGTGTTTGTGGAGTGTTTGTGCAGACAGACACATACATACATATATAATATATATTCACCCACCCATCGTTCTTGTTGTGTCTCCAGGGAGCAGAAGGGCAAGAGGAACAGTCAGTGGGTTCCCACGCTGCCCAACAGTTCTCACCACCTGGACGCGGTTCCCTGCTCCACCACCATCAACCGCAGCCGACTGGGACGAGACAAGAAGAGGACTTTCCCGCTGTGGTGAGCAACAGGAAGCTGCACTGATCACCATTGTTCATTCACTAGTTCCCTTAATTACCAACGATCAGTGACAGAATCGCATCGTGAGATTTTTAAGCAGAAAGTACTTTTGAGGTCGGGTTTTATGGCGCGAATGACCACAAATGGTGCCCCGCGAGTAACGCGGCGCGAATGATGCAATTGGTCTGAACGCAGCATTAAGACAAAGAAATCACCTATTTAATAAAAATAAAGAACTCTCTCATTAAGAAAAGGACACAATAAATCTGTTACTCTAAACCTGAATCATGTTTGTAGACTTGATGTGCAGCAGTGTAAACAAAGAAACATCTGGCTTTATTGTTCTTTGGAGGTATTTTCACACACACTGGTCCTGCTGTTACAGTCCACATGTACAGATGTTTCTGGTGGAGTGAAGAGTTCATTTCAAACCGGTTTACCATCTCGTTTCTACACTACAATATTAAAAATACAGACGATTGCCAAACTTCTAGCTTTAGGGCTCCTTCACACCAGTTCAGTTCATTTCTGCTTCTTAACAGATTGCAGTTTGGTTTTCGTAGTTTAGCTTTTAAAACCATCATTGATCTGCTTTCAGACCACAAAGAAACCTCTCCAGAGTTTGTGTACATTTTACCCTGTGTGTTTTGTCTGACCCAGCTTTGACGACCACGACCCAGCGGTGATCCACGAGAACGCCACTCAGTCCGAAGTCCTGGTTCCGATCCGTCTGGACATGGAGATCGAGGGACAGAAGCTCAGAGACGCTTTCACCTGGAATATGAACGGTAACGTCCCGTCATCACTACAATGTGACCATATTTGGGCCAATAATTTACATTTGAGAAAGCACAAAAAAACAAAGTACAGAATTCAAACATGGCTTAAAAGCATTAAGTCGATTCTTTTCTTAATTGTCTTTTTTTTCTCACAAAATAATCAAAAATAACCGATGAGAGGACTAGCGTCGATAACATCCTAACGACTCCCATCCCTAATCATCACTTTCTCTCTTTCACGACCAAAAACATAAACGTTTGTTCTTTTCTTTGAATGTCCAGAGAAGCTGATGACGCCCGAGATGTTCGCCGAGATCCTTTGCGACGACCTGGACCTCAACCCGCTGGCCTTCGTCCCCGCCATCGCCTCCGCCATCAGACAGCAGATCGAGTCGTACCCGACGGACAGCATCCTGGAGGAGCAGACGGACCAGAGGGTCATCATCAAGGTGGCGCTCTACGCTGACGGCAGATCTTTTTATTATCTTTAATGTTTCCGTACTTGTAGTGACGTTGACCGATTGTCTTCATGCTCCAGTTGAACATCCACGTGGGCAACATCTCCCTAGTGGACCAGTTTGAGTGGGACATGTCCGAGAGGGAGAACTCTCCGGAGAAGTTCGCCCTGAAGCTCTGCTCCGAGCTCGGCCTCGGCGGAGAGTTCGTCACCACCATCGCCTACAGCATCCGAGGTCAGCTGAGCTGGCACCAGAGGACCTACGCCTTCAGGTAAGAACGGGGGGCGTAAACCTGTCTGCCTTTGTGTTTTAATGGTTTCCAGTAGTAGGTCCAGTCTTATTATCTCAATATCTTGTAAAAACAACACTCAAGTAGCAGTTTGTGCTGAAGATTTGACTGTTAACAAAAAAGCATCAGTAAATATCAAAGGTTAGCTCAGATTTTGGCCAAACTTCCAGAAAATCTGCACTTTATTTTCCTCTTTTTGAATATCAGTACTTGGTTCTCCAGTCGGGTGCCATTTAAAAAGTTGTAGAGGAAGACGAGGATATTACAAGATAAATAAAAGCAATTATTGAAGAAACAGGACACCGTTACTTGATGATCTTTCTTAACAATTAAAATAACTACAGTTGCTTTGAACTTGCATGTTATTTACTACGAAGATTTTGTGTTTTATAGACTGACGTTTCTATCTTATGTTCACACTAAAGGCTGAAAATGCACATCGCCCGGTCGCTGTTGTTGGGGTGCTCGTGACCTTTGACCTTTCTTCCACAGGCTGAAGCAGCAGGTCTTTCTTACCCGACCTGTTTTTATACAAAGCATCCAGACTCCAGAGTTTAACGCGGTTGACTTGCGGTCTCGTCTGGTGTTTGATGTTCTGTTCTTTGGGTGAAATGTAGCCGACGGTCCGTCTGAGTTTCTCAGGATGTGAAATGGTGAAGTATTTAAAGCCAGACAGCAGCACTGACCTCTGACACAGAAGGACGTCTGGTGAGGAAGAAGTGTTTTGGGGCTTTTTTATTTCATCAGGAAATGTAATGTGTTTTCATATCAAACAGTATAAAGACAAAAACACAGTTTAAAGATCTAAAACTTTATTTAACATTTCTCTTATTCACATCTTCTTTGTTCCCATCGAGTCGTGATCGTTTCCTAAAACATCCGAGCCGTGATATGTCTTTGAAATATATATGAGAGATGATTTTAGTTACACGTCATAATATTTAATAATTGTAGCGGAAACAATGTCTTTGAAGCTTCAAGTTAAATTCATCTTTCAGGCTCGACTTTATATTCAGTTCCTCCATGTTTCACTTCAACCGTAACACATCCGACCTGAGTCAAGACTGAACCTCCAGAGAGAAACCAGTCTGTCTCTCTCTCTGTCTCTCTCTCTCTCTCTGTCTCTCTCTCTCTCTCTGTCTCTCTCTCTCTCTCTCTGTCTCTCTCTCTCTCTGTCTCTCTCTCTCTCTGT